ACTCCAAAAAAACCCTTTCTTTTGAATTGAAACTAAATGTTATTAATCTCAAAGCTAATTTTTATGCTTGTTCAAAAAAGTGAGATTTTTCTTTAATGACATCTAAAGCTCACAAATCTAAAGAGCGACCTTGCTGAGTGAGGGAGACCTCACCCATAACTTTACACTTTCAGGATTAACAGAAGTGGAATAATGCATTCAAAGCCTGACCAAAGATTCACATTATCAAAACTTCATATGAGATAGGCAACAACATCTAACCTCAAATAAAATCTTTTTTTAGTTCTGATTTTTCTTGGTTTGTTTTCAGTTCAGAGTATTATCTAAAACTTGGCTCGTTAGTAACGATTTCAAAGAAATAAAAAAATGGAAATAACACAATGGCAGAAATGTCAGTCTTACCTTTTGAAATGCTACGCTTTATGACAGTGGTCAAGGTAAAGAACTAATTAAACTTATGTTTCCTCTTATAGTCAGTATAGCGGGCGATTTTTGAAAGTTAGCTTTAATAGACTCTGTCTAGTTGAGTTTTAATCACACTCAATATCAGGAAATTCAACTTCAGATCATCATGAATTATCAAGCCTGGATCTGGTAGAAACTCAACTGATAAACAGAAAAGTCTTAGATAAATTATTTATGAAGGTAAAATCGATCATACGTTGATGGAACAACCGATAAAGCTTTATTCTGATATTTGACATCGGAGCTCTTTGGATTAATCAAAACAAAACGAAGACCAAGTAGTATGATAAGCCGCCTGATAACTAAATTGTATCATGCATGAGAATAGCCGCATGAATGTAGTAACAAATTCCTTTAACTGTGAAAGAAAATGAGACTTTGGGAAATATTTCAAGGATAATTAGATGACTTACTTTGAAGATCTGCTAGACGCCATTCACTTCACCACGAGCTTGCTCACCTTGAGGGAAGAAAACGTTTTAAACCATTCAACTTTGGTCCTTTTAGTTTAAAAAATGATGCCTAACCCATGAAGAGGCAATAAATTTTGAATTCCAATTGACAGAATAGTTGTGATAGACGGTTAATTATAGTGTTTTGCTTTAAACAACTCACGTTTTCCAGACAACGCCAAATCTCTTCAGGCCGCGTTCTCGAGTTCGGGAGAAAACGCCACGCGCATGCGCTCTTCATCCGAAATTGGAAAAATCACTTCCGGTCGCGTCTCCGACCCACCGCGTCCTCGGTTCTTAAAGTCCCTATTATTGCCAGTCGGCGGCTTTGGATATTCTATAGGTGGCGGTCTATAAACTCTTCTCACAAAATCTGTGCTTTTCCTTTAAATTTAAGCTAAATATCATATATAAGTGTCGTGTTCGATTCTTTTCTAATTCATTGTTGGAAAAAGACACCGCTTTTAATCGGGGATTAAGTGCAAATAATGACACTTGAATTATCAGAAAACCCATTTTTCTTTGGACATAAATCGGGCTTAGAACATAATGCCGCATTTTTTTATCAATGAGGGACCAAGTCACATTGGTTAGGGGGGAGGGTAGGGGTGAGAAGAATTTTCATCAAGTGGGGATTATCCTTTTTCTTTCTAACTGGTCAACTTCAGAAAACTGAAATCTTAAATAGGAAGCAAATCAAAAATCGCAAAAAAGGAAGTGTCGTAAAAGACATGATAAAATCTTTATTGTATGAGCTAATACAGGATAATGGGCTCCTGGCTAATATTGTTTGTAGTGCGGCAGCTCATCTCTACATGTAAAAATTAGCTGAGATCGCATCAATCTTGTAACTTTTTTCCATCTCCGAGTCCCTCGGGATGTTATTTCTGCCAATGATGTAAACTTCAACAAGAAGTTGTTGTTTTAAAAACCAGATTTATGATGGTTATTGAGGTGTTGTGATAATATGTAATAGAAATCAGGAGATAACACGAACAACATTTTTTATTTTACGAGCTCGAACGTCCATGAACTTTATTCGAGTGTGAAGATAGTAATTATTTAATAGCGGAGCTCGCAGAGCATAGCCCCATAACTATACAAATAGTAGTAACCCATCAAGCCCAAAAGATTTGTTTGTACGACCGTACGACCGTACGACCGTATAAGGTGCTACTTTTAGCATGCGCGGCCAACTATACTTCGGGCACTCTCTTAGCCATTACGTAATGGAAGGGCGAGGGAAAAGGTAATGCGCAGGCACGATTGCGCGCGGAACTTGGACACCCCATTAGTGTGCGCCAGGAAACACCGGCAGATGACAATGAAGAGTGCATACTCGAACGTCGAGCTGCAGAGTAGCGTCGTGCAGGCACACGGTTAGGCATTGCACGAGGGCTTCACGTGAGCTAGTAGATGAAATTTGCCACCCGCGGTTTGAGCGGGAAATCGAACTGGTCAGGATGTAGTTGAACAGTAATTCTCAGTATTTTGCAATTTCTAAACAACTCGTAAGACAACAATACCGGCAGAGTTTAAGCTTTGTCAACCGGAGAAATTGTTATAATTCAAGTTCGTGGAGAGAGGGTTTTAATTAGAAATAGGCTGGATATAAAGAGACAGAGCGACCAAAGAAAGCAACAAGTAAACGGCGTAAAGCGAGTCCAGAAAATCGCGCAAGAAAGCTACAAAGGACGCCAAAATAGGCAGAATACGGCGAGAGGAACACGAAAGAGAACAATAAAGGGCATAAGTAAAAAGGCGAGTTTCTAGTGAAGAGCAACGCGAGAAGGAAATATAAAGTTGCTTCTGAAAACAGACTGAAAAGAGGTCATCAACAAAGAGAAGCGAACTGCAAAGGATCCGCGAAAGAAGAGAAGGTAAGTCGTGTCCTATCTGGGTTTTCTCTTACGCTAAGACCCAGAAAAAAATTCAAACTTTTTTTTTCCAATCGTCGTTTGATACTAGCTTCAGTTTTGAATTCAACTGATCACGTTTCGGTTAAACATTGACTTTGGCATTCATCGCCTAGAAACTCTTACGCCGGTTCATCGCTCAAATAATATTGCATAGTGTTCGTATTCTTTAATTTATTTCTTGTCCTTTCGTTTGAAAGTTTAATACAGTCGTGGTGTTATGGGAAAAGAAGTTATCTTACGTATTTTGTTTTGCCTAGAAAGTTTACAAATGATGTCGAACGGCGAGCGCAAGTTTCTACTTTTTTTTCTCGTCAGTTAGTTATCGCAGGATTTACTCTGTTCATTTGAAAAATTTGGGCTTTGCCGAAGATGTGTTATTTTACCCTAAGAACGAAGTGATGGCCTTTCCCAAAATTAAAATAAAATGGGATTGAGTAAGCGATGTTCATGTTTATATTAAGTCTAACGCGGTAATTTGATTTTGACGATATTGTCATGTGAGAACCCGTCAAACATCTGAGAATTAAATTACGAACCGCAAATGTGTGGTGTAAACAAACTCACGGGTAAAATGGAGACGGTTCTACAGCGGGATGAGTGAATTTAATTGTTTGGTTGTCGTATTTTTCAGCGCTATGTTTTCAAGCTTTCTACTCGATTCGTTCGAACTTCAGGAAATGGTTTGTGTCACAAAACATGGAGCCACTTTCTCTTCGCTCAACATCTCAAGGCGTTATGATGAACCTGCTTGCGATACGATATTTTTTTCCTTATGCTGGAAACTGTAGAATTAATCTCTAAAATTGGTAGTCTTCACATTTTGCAAGAAGCGTCCGAGCTGTGATCGTGCAATTAACGAGGTTCTGGCAATTTATGTTTTTAATTTAACCTGCCTCCTCCCCTGTAATGTTCAGGGCACATAGATGAAGAGAACATTTTTTGTATTTTAATGCATAAAAGTTAAATTACCAGTAATTGGCATCCACATAATCACAAAGCAAGAATGTAAAGCTTTAGCTTAATTGGTTAAAAAATTAAAGTAAGAGAGTTTTGCAGACCGTGTCTGACTTTTTATCCTGGCTCTGGGTATTTGTTTAAGTAACAAAGACACTATCAGTCTCATTCACTCTCACTTTTCACTGAGCTTGTGGAAAGATGATATCATTATTTCTCTAAATGAAGAAAGGAAGGCCTGCCCTCTTACCACGGATAGTTCTGTTGGGCATCATTAATTGTTCCAGGTAGGCTAACCTTAAAAATTAGTTGTGATCAATTAATCAATTTTACCTCACCAACCTAATTTGAATAAATAGGAACATGAAATTTATCTGTTCTCCTTTTGAGGTGTGTATCAAAATTTCGAAGTCATCACAGGCTTAAACTATAGGTTTACTGGAAATCTGCATGTGCATGTGTTTTCAACATATGAAACTGGGATTATGACTACTTCAAAAGACTTTACTACATGCCATATAGGTACAGGTAGGTGTTGTAAAAAAAGTTTGCTTAGCTTTTTAATTAGTACACATTTCTTTTTCTAAGAACCTTGTTTATCCAGCCTGTGCTGAATTCTAATTTTTCAAACAAATTTTTTTTTTTTAGTATTATTAGATCTCCTAGTATCAGTTAATATTCTTGTATTTAAAATAATTACATCAAATCTTGCAGATGTATGGCAGAATATTTTTGCTCTGAACCTCCCAACATTTTACCATTTGAAGAGACTGGTATTGGCTATAAAAGTATAGTCAAATTAAAGGTTTTTGCACAACCTATGCATCGAGTTTTTGTTATAAAATATTGTATCCTTCTCAAAACTAGTTTATCAGAATAAGAATGAGTTACCGGGAACAAGTATGGCTTTAATGATAGTAGTTTTCAGATTTGAAAAAAAGTCACTGCCTACTAAAATCCTCAGTTCCTTTGCCTTGATAACCCAACCTCATCAAAACATTGCCAACAGGAGTGATTAGCAAATTATTGATACAGTCAAGAGGGCCTATTCCCACATACATCCTCTTCAATCCTGTTAGCTTACTATGGTCATGGCATTTCAAACATGGTGTATATGCCACAAGTTTTCCATTTCCGTGACTAATTACTTTGTAATAGTGTTTATATGTTGAGGAAATGGTTGGGTTGAAATATAATACAAAGACTTGCCAGTAGATAGTTTTATTACAGAGACTTGCCAGCAAATAGTTTTATTACAGTTTTTATACAGTGTAACGTAGGGCTGGAAAATAAACTAATAAGAGCTCCGCTTTTAGGCTCGGCTAAATCTATATATTAAAGCAAGTTAGAGAAACGCGTAATGGAATCGAAATGTAATTGAAAGAAAGATAAGAAATAAAAATTACCATCTAAGTATACAAGAGTTCTATCTACATGTATCGTCAATTCTCAAATTTTTGTTCATGTTCAACTTGCCAATATATTTTTGGCAAAAAGGCTAATTCACCTTTATAACAAGGCGAACAAGGACTTTCTATCGTCAGTTATTGACATTCTTATTTTTCTTTACATTATATCAGTTTCAAATAAAAATATGCTGCACTTAATATCTTCGCACAATCGAATGACAATAGAATGAGTGATGAACAAAATTAAAGACGATAGTGTGCTCCATTCAATATCTTTAAATTTTTTCATTTTAAGCAATATTAGGCGATGAATTCTTTTGTGTTATCTCTTGCTCCCGAATCTATTGTTTGATGTTCTTCATCGCAGGAGAGTTTTGAGATTGATAGGAGGACGCAAGCTTCTTTGTCTCCCGATCTCACCAAAGACAAGGGATTCTTGAAAAATGAGGAAAAAAGTAAAAAAATTAAAAAAGAGTCAGTAGTTTCGTAAGATTTCATAATCAATCTTGTATTCTAAGGGAGATAACTACCATAGTGCAATCAAGAAAAATTAAAAAGAAAAGAACAAACACAATGAAGGATAAAATAGAATATTCTTCTTATGTAAAAGTACAGCTTAATGTGAGATCTTTTTTCCTTATAATAATAAGTACGTAGGGTCGCCTCCCAGAGCTGAATGTCCTGCACTCCGTCTTCGTCGTCTGAAATGAATAACCAATTACTCGGGTTCACGTAAGATCAATTTTCTTTCCAATACTGTCCAAGTATATATTTTTGGGTCATAGGAAAGTTCTCTTCGAGCTTCTCTTCCTGAGGAGACAGCCAAAAATTTCATTTTTTTCTAACGTTTTAAGTTTAAAGGTGGTATTTCAATAGACTACATCATACCTTCGCTCTAGTCTCTCCTGGTAGGTCACCTTCTGAACAATGTCTGAGATTCTGCAAAACAAGAATGAATTTAAGTCTAAACATAAACATTTAGCTACTGTCCTGAAAACAGTCGACATGGGCAGTATGACAACTTTGACCGATTACAGACAAAGATATCTATAGCGCATTATAATTGCTCAAATTAAACAAGATAGGAATACTGGCCAAGTTTGCATTTTTGGGTCATAGAAAAGTTCTCTTCGAGCTTCTCTTTCTGAGGAGACAGCCAAAAATTTTCATTTTTTTCTAACGTTTTAATTTTAAAGGTGGTATTTCAATAGACTACATCATACCTTCGCTCTAGTCTCTCCTGGTAGGTCACCTTCTGAATAACGTCTGGAACTCTGCAAAACAAGAATAAATTTAAGTCTAAACAAACATTTAGCTACTGTCCTGAAAACAGTCGACATAGGCAGTATGACAACTTTGACCGATTACAAACAAAGATATCTATAGCGCATTATAATTGCTCAAATTAAACAAGATAGTTCCTTATTCAATTTCTTATATCTGCAGTTTGATTCAGTTCAGTGATCTGTGCTTCTATAATCTCAGATTTAACTCAAATTCTCTTACCTTCCTTCCGTATCCTGGAAGAGATTTTGATTGACGTTTTGGCACAGTTTCCTTGTGAGAGGGCTTAAGAAAATAGAAATAAAATGTAAATTTGAGAGAACATCACAAACAGAAAAGTCAAGAAAGGAGAGAAGATGATAAGATTCTGCCTGCTCGTTTGAGGTCAATGAAACAAAAACAACAAATAATTAATTATGTACATGAAAAAATATCGCGCTTCTGATTGGCTGAAAGTGCAAATTAACAATTGCGCACTCCTCACTTTCAAAAATTCGTCTGTCTTCACTTTCTGTGATGTTTTATCATGAATATTATTAGCAATTAAGCACGGGTAGTTTTTTAAAGACTTCAAATTGCACTTGCTATACGGGCTCGTGCAGTTTTGTTGTCGTTGAAAAATTTACCCGTGATTGTTGACACCAAATTTCACTCGAGGTCAAGTTCTTACCAATACTAAAGTGATAAAATGTTTATCTATCAGTAATTACCAGCCTCCCTTTATAACTCGGCTTTCTCTCTGTTGTCCTTTGATAAAGTAGTCCTGATGACAGTAGCTTTTCAATTTCCTTGAATTGCAACTCATGTTGCGTTTTCCATTTTTGTAATTCCTCAACTCGATTCGCGTGCTGCTTGTCCTTGATTTGGCTCTGAGTTCCTACCGACTCGATTTTGGAGAAAAGTGTTGTTTCCTTTTGCTTGAGTTCCCTAGTAAATTCCAATAGTTTTTCAATGCAATCAACATTATCTTCATTTTGTTGTCCAACCTCGCCAGTCAGCTTGATAAGAGCGTCAAACATTCTCTGAAAATAGTAGCGATGTTGTTCACATGACTCTAGCAATTTTTCCACGCTTTCATTGTTTGGTGGATCCACTTCCTCATTCAATAAGCTGCTTGTGGGCTCTGTTTTGTCTTTAGAGGCATCTTGAATACCATCTGTTTTATCACCATTTCCACAAGCCAGTTGCCCTTTCTTCATTTGGAGTCTCAGGTCCTGAAGCTCCGATGAAATATAGCGCTTTAGACTTTCCTGTCTCGCCACAACAACAGTTTCTAAAAATCTCTTGCTCACAAGTGTCTTTTAAAACAAATGAAATACAAATAGGTAAATTAAAACTATGACATAATTTTCGATAGTAAACCCTTAATCATAGAGTGCATTTTTCTAAATACTCACTGAAACATTCTAATTGGATAAATGGGATAAGTGAAGAAGTTACCTCTTCCAATTTCAAAAAATTGTCTCTGCTGTTGAATGCTTTAACCATGAATTTATTTCCCTGCGCATCTTCGCACACCATAAGCTAAAAAAATGAAAAATATTCGATAGCTATCAAATTTGAAGTTACTTTGTTATTTTACTTGTAAAGAGTATTTGGTGGTAAAACTATGCCTAGAGAATGGCAAAATTCATCTAAGTGATTTTTCTTGTCAACTGCTGGTCCAAGTTTCACCTTTTTTGTTCACGAGTCCCAGTAACAAGAAAATTCAAGCTATTAGCTCTGGGCAGGTCCAGGCAGGCGTGCTATTTATCAACTTTGGAGGAAATGGATTGTAACTGTGTTGTAACGAAATATGCATATTGTTATTTTCAAAATTTTATCTTTCAGTGGTTATTGTAGAAAACGTGTTGTTATCTACTCACCTTATCAAGCCCTTCACCCAGGTCATGAATAACTGTTAAACTGATAACGTGACCCTTGGGAATGTTTCCACACCTCAGCACGTTCGCATCATCCGCTCCTAATAGTATATGTGTTGATATGAAATTATCATGAGTTCGAAGTTATGCATCGATCAGTTCAATGCTTCATCTCCCCCCCTCCCCGCTGGTCAACCTCCCCCCTTCGCCCGCCACCCACCCCTGGAGCAAACTGTTGAACATTTAGAACATTTTCTATTATGGAAAAGTCGCTCGCAGGAAGGCAATTTCTTAACTTAGCAACCCTTATAAGTGCACACAATCCGGATACTAGGATGGCTGGATAATTCACGGTTTTCGTGAAATCGAACCCAGAGTTTTGCTAACTGCTAATTAGAACAAAGTCAATATCACTGGTCAGGAGACAATGGGAGCACAAAGCATAAACAAGCAAAATACTTGAAGTGCGGGTCTACAAGTCACCTTTAATTCTAGTCTTAAATTTAATCGGGTGAAAGAGTGGGACAAGTTTCCTGGGCCCATCAGACAGAATAAATCGTGAGAAGCAACGCAATCCAAGATCGGGTTTTACACCAAGTTGTCACTTGCTTTATCAAGGATTGCAAAATCCCTGAAATAGTAGGCGCGCTCTGAGTGATCAGTAGATGTGTTGAGATAAGGACGAATAAAAGATTTTACATTCACGAGAGCTATATTAAAGTATTTATTCATAGCAGCCTCCTTCTCAAGGGGGGAAGGATACCACAATTACGTTATACGTTAACAATGCTGACAGTTTTCTAGGAGTTCTTGGTGTAGTTATTCGTTCAGCTCGTCAGTTGCATACGCAGACCATTCATGCATCTTGCCACATGTACCTACTTACCAAGTAGCATTTCTGCAATGCACTTTTTTCCAATGCTTACCAAAGCATCCGCTAAACGCCCTGCAATTGCACTGCTCCCTTCTTTCTGTTTCCACATGAGGAGTAAGGCGTTTGCTTTGTCGCGATTACAGCGATAATCGTCGTCCAGGTTTTGGATCTTTGCTGCAGGGATATCAAGCTTTGGTCCAAGCTCACGCCAGCAAGTACCTACGTCATCACTTATCTCTGAAAGCTGCAGTTCTGTCACCACAGAGGTCTCTGGGTCGTTGAAGTCTCCTGCATGCACAAAGGGAAATTAGTCTCATAGCTAAATTTATGTTTCAATTGCGTGTAGTCTTTAACTTTGGATTACGTCAGCCATCCCAGTTGAAATATAATGAGGTTTTCCTTTTGCCCTGGAGTAGAAAACTAACCTGGTGTTAACTGGATAATAATAACATAAAAGGGTTAAGCTCTAACTCGACTATTACCAACATCAGTGTCGAGATTGAAGGTTACCAGATATTCAGGCTGGATCGCTTGGGGAAGTCCGGCGCTGGTGTTTGTGCTTATGTCAGACATGGCTAAAAGGGTAGGATCCTCAAGGACCTGGCTGGCATCGGCGAATCAGGTCTACATCAACTCTGGTTACAAATCCAAAACAAGAATATCTGTTCGATCTTGTGCATTGTTTACAGACCCCCGGACATAGGCCTTTCCTGTCTCGAAAATGAGCTCATACCAACATACGTGAAGGCCTTATCCCGTAACAAGGACATCGTACTGACTGGGGATGCAAATTGTGACCTATTACTCAAAACCACCAGGGGTGACGCTCTTCGGTCTTTCTGTGCTTCCGTGAACGTCCACCAGTTGATAGACAGACCTAGTAGGGTCACTATGACGTCACGTAGCCTCTTGGATATTGTCATGTTATCAAAAAAATTGATAATATAGAATATTATGATTGTTAATTTGGAAGTGGTAATTTTAAGTTATTTCTATATCAAGTACAAGTAAGTTATTATTTTATATCGTTAGTCTTTTATGTTATATATACACTGTTATATATACACATTGTAAATTAATTCTGAAAAGCCCCTTTGGGAGAATTAAAAAAAGCATGTATGTATGTATGTATGTATGTATGTAAGCTTCTGTTTAGAGTGGTTAATTTTAAACAGCCGAACACGTATATGGAAGTGATCCTCGCAGTTAAGAACACCACTTAAGTAGTAGTTAAGATAAGGCCCGAATTCAGACCCTTACGGTATTTGAATCCATGACCTCTGCGATACCAGAGCAAGCTCTACAACTGAGCTAACAAGCCAACTTAAGTAGTGTTCATAACTGCGAGGATCGCTTCCATATTCTTCCCTCAACCTCAGTTTACATATATGATTTTAATATATTTACAGTAATTTATTCACCATTTGGAAGATTATTTGGAAGCAACAGAATGATCTCCTCCAAGTTGGTTTGTTATCTCAGTTGGTAGAGTGCTGCACTGTATTTTTTTCAGGCCATATTTCCACTAATACTTAAGCAGTGTTTATAACTGCGGAGATCGCTTCCATATTCGCGTATTTGCTTCAAATATCTTCAAATGATATTGCTTAAACTCTTTTAAACGTCACGCATCTCCGTGGTTATATTTATAACAAGAGCTTACAAGTGTCACAGTCAAGTACTGAAGCTTGACGCAATGTACATGTGCGGCAAACATAATGGATATGCAGCGCCGTCATTCTGCATAAATTAACTCTGATTTAACTCACCTTTTCCAAAATCCTGGAATCAAGCCTTTAAAAAATGGCGGAAAATCTTTCGTTCACTTCATAAGCAAAAAGTTTACTTTATGAAAATAATGGCCTTAAGCGTACAGTGATATGCATTATTTCAGTTTCCCGTTTGTTGTTCGTCGAAAACATCATGCCCAAACTCTCAAATGTCTATCTAATACGTGATTATTTTATTAGAATTTCTGTTTTGCAGGTAATCAGAGCGCTCCTAGTTTACATAAGTTTAGCTCTCATTTTATCTGCATTAAGATGAAATGAACAGATTTGAAAACAATCTGAGCTGGTTACAAAATTTCTATGATATTGTCTGCGGTTTATCGTCGAGCTTATATTTTTGGTGCCATTGACGTCATAATCTACTCATCGAGATTCTGTTCTTTACAAATAAGGAAGAATTGGTTAAAATTCTAACCAGTGCTGTTTCCATCCTGACCTTTAAAAAAGAAGCAGCACGATAAAGTCGGCAAAAAAAAAAAAACTCATTGTAAACGGAGCCGATTCGAGTTAGTATCTGCCTAGTCTTGTTAGCCCTAAAATCACCAAAGCGGAACATAACTCTGGATTGTCAACGCAGAAATGCAACAGTCTCGCATTTAAATCACACATGGACAACTAAATTAACATCACGAAATCTATAGAGCTTTATAGTTAAACAACAGACCGGTTATACGAAAATTAAACAACACAGATTAATCAGTTTTAGATCGATGACAAGCACCCACGAAGACTCCAAAAAAAAATTTGAAAGTTAAATTACTGTTATATGATTGATTACATTATTAAGCTTTGCCTCTAGAAAAAACGTGCACTTGCAGAACCAAAAGATGATACTTAAAAACTGAATACAAGTAGTACTTTCACAAGCTACCGAGACTGAACTAAACTAAATAGCCATATGTTCAACACGTACATATAATATTGTGAAAGCTTACTTGTAATTTCAGTAGCATTCTCAGCTTCTATTCCGCTTGTCGCAGCCAATGTCAGCGTCTTTATTTCCTCGGAAGCCATAGGACTTGCTTCTCTTCTCTCTTCCTCCTGTTGTTTCCTCAAGAAAACTTTACTTTCCCTCTGTGATCTGATCAAAACTTCAATGTTCAACCGCGGCCCTTTATCGACAATAATTTCAACCACATCTTGTAACAAGGAAATTAATATTTCCTTGAGGGGTGGAGGGGGGGAGGGGTGGAGGGGGGGAGGGAGGGGGTCAAGTTTGTAAAAAGCTGTCGATATTATGAAAGATCTTTCAGCAATAGATAACACAAAAACGGTTTCAATACTTGTTTATCGAGACAGAAGTACAAGTTTCCTTGATATCATCGTCTTTCTCACTTTTATTTCTTTACTCTTAAAATGACTAATGGTAAACCATCGAGGAATTGAACAAAATTGCTCAGGTTCACGTTTGACTCAGTATCAGGGTGAGAAATACTTGATTGTACAATAACAAAACCGATCTCTTTAAGACAAAGAACAAGAGAGTCATATGCCTTTCAGACATGATCTAGTTTGAAACAGATCTCACTCTGAAAATAACTAGCACCAAGATTCCGACCGGAAAAGGCCCCTTCACACTGACTGCAATTATACTGAGGAGCAAATATGGCGAAATTATGTATTCAGAAGAACACTAAGATCATCTTTGTATTTGTGCGGGAAACCATGATATATCAAAACGTGTGAATTGGTGCATAAAGCATGTTTATCTTTTTCATTTAAACAAAGAAAATTGGATGTTACCTTCTTAAAAAATCTTCAACCCTTTACGTTGAAAAAAATTTTCATCCATTTACGTTTTCAGAAAACTCTCGTTCCCAAAGCTCATCGCTAACAGATCTACTTGGAGACACTTGTAATGGAATTAAAATGAAATCGATAATCGAGAAATAGCACTTCACCATCTCGAGGTATCGTGAATCCTCGAGAGCTCTTATGATCTAAAGAAAACACTGAAAGCTGATCGGCTGAATAGTTTTTCGTGTGTGTATGAATTTTAGTCCCTACTAAACTTGCCAACTACAACTATGGCAGAAAGGCACTGTCACCTTTTAAATTTGCCTCTCGCAGAGAGCGTCTTCGAAAAGAGGTTATCCTGATCATTTTTTTTTTACTTAACAATTGGTTCATACAACAGCGTGTGTTCATCGAGATATGAAGCACGCGGGAAGTTTGGAGAGCACGAAAGATGCGTAAGAGTTGCTCGAGGCGTAGCCGAGAGCAACTCTAGCTTCTTGAGTGGAAAATGTTTTTTCTCGAGGGATTTGTTTGCTGACGTCATGAGCGCGCACAATAGGAATATGAAGCACGCTCGCGCAATTGAATTTGATTACACAAATGTACTGGCTATGTTATAATGTAAATTTTTTCAGTCTCAGAATTATTCTGTGTTGTCTCCCGCTTCCGAATCTTTGGATTGATATTCTTCATCGCTGATAGCTTTGGAGATTGACAGGAGGACGCAAGCTTCTTTGTCTCCCGATCTCAACCTCAACAAAGGATTCTTGAACTATAAGGTAAAAAAAGGAAGTGAAAAAAATAGCAGACACATCGGTCTCGTCAGATTTCATTTCATTCTCTTTTTTTCTAAGGGAGATAATTCTATAATAGTGTAACCAAAAGAATATAAAAATATGAGAAAAAACAAAATGAATTGAGAAGAGAAGTTTATATGGATTACGAAAAGGCTCCAAGAATACCTATGAAATTAAATTATGTTATTCCAGTAGAAAAGTGTAACGGTGTATGAATTCTTTGTAAGTACACAAGGTCGCCTCCCAGAGCTGAATATCCTGCATTTTATCTTTGATTTCCAAGATAAGTGATCGATTATTCGTGTTCATGTTGAAATCAATTTTCTTCCTACTTCTAGCATAGTTTGAGTTGTTTTGTCATGAAAAGACTGTCTTGGTGCTTCTTTTTCTGAGGAAAAGAAAACGAAAATTTTTTAGATTTTTTTCTTACATTCTTTGTTTGATGGTTATATTTTAATAACGACAATATCATACCTTCGTTCCACTCCCTTTTGGTGGGTCACCTTCTGAAAAATGTCTGGGTTTCTGCAAAATGAAAACAACACTGAATCTTAAAAGCTTATGATATTTAGTGACTGCCCTTTGTATTTCATAATGACTATCCTGTTGAGAGTAAGTTTCTTTGTTCAATGAAAACAAGTTAAAGGATTGCAAGGATTCTTCGGAGGTACAACACGCAACAGAAGCAATAGAGCAATTTAAACCGTATGTAAAACAACGATGAAAATGATTGTATCATAATACCTCTCATTTCCAGGCGTCCAGCCTCGGTAGTCAGCTTAATAATAGCCTTAAACATCCTCCGACAAATGTTGCGATGTTCCTCACATTACAGAAGCAATTGCTCCACGCTTTCATCATTTGGGGAATCTACTTCCTTCTCTTCAGATGAGCTGCTTGATAGCTCTGCATGTATCTACATCTCCACGAACCAATTACTCTTTCTTTATTTGGAGCCTCAGGTCCTGAAGTTGTGCTTAAATATGTCGCTTTAGGCTTTCCTGCCTCACGCCAACAACAGTCTCTAAGGATATCCTCCTCACAGGTTTCTGTTAAAACAAATGAAGTACAAGTGGGTGAATCACTTAATCAGAGTGAATTTTTCCAAATGATTACTTCTAACGCGTGGTACGCGAAGAGTTGAACCGAGATTTTGTAGGGGTTCCAATATTCAAACAAGTCACTCACTCGCGTACCGTTATAGTCAATTAGTCGTTCCTAGCTTGCCTTAGCCCGATGAAATAGTAACCGCGCATAAACGACAACGAGGCTTGTTACAGTTTATATTTAGCATCGTTGCTTTAAATGGCACTTTTCGATTGAACATAAAAATTCGGGTTAAGGTACAACCCCAACACTGTACATTGCTTCGATTGTTTACGATCTGATGTAAAACAAGAACCATGGTTAATTGGCTGATTGATCAAATTAAACAATTTTGTGTAGGCATTGGCGGCTGGATCAAGTAAGAACACTTTAGCTAAAGGAAATAATCATGTGATTTTCTAGCAAAAGCCGCAGCGTCTGAATTGAACGAATTTTTCAAATATAAATTTTAAGAGGAATTTATTTTGTACTGTTATACCCTAATTGACTATTCAGCGAAGTTTGATAGTTAGCGTCATTCTGGATCTGTCCGTGACTTTCCGTAAGCTTTCCAGCCGAAAAAACCTCGACCTTGTCAGTCGACTCTTATCTTTACAACGCAAAATTTAGTAAAATAATTGATATTGGCACATTTTAAGTCAAAGAAGATTTTGAGTCTCTGAGAATATATGGTTTTTAATGTCATAAACATAGCCATTAACCACAGCTCCTTGAAATGCCTTATGTTCGGCAAATGAGCAAAAGATTCTACACTAATAACACTCATCCGATGTCTCCTGAGGATAATGGAAAAGATTGAACCGCTTTTGGTTGTAATGGTGGTGAGCGAGTTTCTGACTTGTATGTTCCTTGAAACGGGCACGAAAGTCCATAAACCAGAGAAAAAATGGCACAGAGAAAGAGGCTTCTGGTTCGGTCCTCGGATAAATGGGAAAAGTGGAGAAATTACCTCTTCCAATTTCAAAATTTTTCACTGCAATTGAATGCCTTTACCATTTATAATTTTAATGCCTTGCAGGAATGTAATCTCTTACCTATGCAACCAAGCAGCCTATTTTCAATTTTCAATGATTACACGTACACACAATCAGAATAATAGGGTAGTTGGATAATCTATTGAGCTCTGTTACGATTGAGTTTCGTAAAACAGAAGGAAATAGCACAAGAATCCAATGGAATCTCAAGATGAAAAACAAGCTACTTCAAGCGCGGGAAAAGGTAAGTGTTCAAGTCGCGATTGGTTTTACTATTTAGTTTGATTGGTCGAGAATTTGAGTGCGAGTTTCCCCGGACAATCAAAGGGCAAATTTAAGCAAGAGCAACTCATGCCAAGATTGCTCACACTCAGTTGACAACTGCTCTATGAAGAATTGCAAAATAGTAAGCACGTTCTTATTTATCGGTAGGTGCACGTGTTAATATAAGAGTAAGTAAAAGAAAGTAAACACGATTGTGACATGGTAGAATTGCTTGTGTTATGGAGAGATATATCCATGGACGAGGGTATTGGGAGAAATATCCCAATCCCCCTTTTGTTAAGATAAGACTTTAAAACCACGGAAAAATCCATTATTGTGTAATAGGGTTACAGTGTTCATTGTTTTCTGTTACAGTGTTCATTGTTTTCTAGGACTTTGTCATGTAGCTATTTATCGTTATTTTTATTTTTTTTTTATTACATGAATTTGGCGATTGGGTAGCTTGTCAGTTGTATACGCATTTCAGTGCTCTTCTCAGACCACTCACTCATCTTACCAGGTATACCAACTTGCCAAGAAGCTTTTCTGCTATGCATTTTTTCCAAATTCTTAATAAAGCATCCGCTAGACACCCTGCCACTGCACTTCTCCCTTCTTTCTGTTTCCACATGAGAAGTAAAGCGTTTGCTTTGTCGCGATTACAGCGAAAATCTTCGTCCAGGTTTTGCGGGATCTTTGCTGCAGGGATATCAAGCTTTGGTCCCAGCTCACGCCAGCAAGTACCACGTCATCACTTATGCCTGAGAGCTGCAGTTCTGTCAACACAGAGGTCCTTGGGTCGATGACGTCTCTTTTGTGCTCAAAAATATATTAGATTTTTAGCATAAACTAATGTTTCAATTGTGTGTAGTTTTAACATTGGATTACACAAGGCATTGCTATGTACGTGGTTGAATCATTTACAACAGCAAAACAACAGCCAAATTTTACAGAAATCAATGATGATTTCAGCACATATTATAAAGCTCTCATTGGAGAATGAGATCGGATTAAGCAGGTGTAGAATAAATTACGAGGAAAGAACGTGAGAACATTAATACTAATCTGTTTCATGTAAACAATGTTAATTGCATATCACCCACTTTATAAATATCTAACCCTTCACTAAGAAAAAAAATTTGAATTCAATTATGTATTTAAAACATTCTCGTTCCAGAAGCCCATCAGTTTTCTCGGCCAGCAGCGCCTCAGCATCGTTTTAAGATAAATCGAAGGGCTATAGACGCGCACAAAATTATCCTTTTTCCTCAATTTGGTCAAGTTCAGAAAAATGAAATCTAATTATAACCAAGAAATCAAATCAACAACCAAAAACGGGAGCGGCGTAAAATACATGATAAAATCTTCATTGTATGAGCTCATATAGAGCGGTAGCTAACTTCTACATATAAAAATTAGCTAAGATCGCGCCTGGAAAGATTAAACTCGTAATTTTTTTTCGTCTCCGAGTCTCTCTCGATGTTATTCTGGTGATGGCGTAAACATCGACGACTAGTTTTTTTTTTTTGAAAAAATAGACATTTGTTGGTTATTGAGGTGTTATAAATAGGTAACCTAAATCAGGTGAGAACACAACAATAATTTTTTGTTTTATCTCAACAGCACAAAAATTTTGAATTCATACGCACACATACGTACATAAACTTTATTCGAGTGAGAAGATGGTATTTAACTAATAAAGCTAATAAACTGTGATGGAATCAAAATATATTTTACGTAATTATAACTGATAATCAAGAAAGAAAAGAAAAAAAATCACCATTTAGTATACAAGAGTTCTATCCTGATGTATCGTGAATCCTCAAACCGTCCCATAATCTTACGAAAATACTAAAAGCTGATTACTTAAATAGTTTGCCGTATGCATTCGAATTTTTTTTCATCTTCAACTGTAACAATTGTAACTTTGGCAGAGAGATAAATAAACCTTTATAACAAGGCGATCAAGAACTTTCTACCGTCGGTAATTGAGATTCATATTTTCTTACGTTATATTTTTCAAATAAACATATGGTCTGCTAAATATGACAATAAAATTAGTGATAAACATAAAATGAGGTCGTTCGTGTGCTCCTTTCAATATCTTTGCAGAGGGCTTCGTTAAAAAGAGGTTATTCTGATCGATTTTTTCGTTGTAAACAATGTTAGTCTATGAGTTCTTTTGTGTCGTCTCATGCTTCCTAATTTTAATTAAGCCATAGGACTTTTCTTTACTCTTCCTCCTGTTGTTTCCTCAGTAAAACTTTACTTTCCCTCTGTAAACTGATCAAAGCTTCGATGTTCACCAGAAGGCCATTTTCGACAATATTTTCAGGCACATCTTGTCATAAGGGTTTTTAAAGTTTTTGGCTAATCGTGCTTTCTCGTTAACTTGAAAAACTGAAGCTACTTGGATACTTGTCGTGATATTGACAGAATTGACAGCATTCACCTTCAAACCAGTAAATACGACATAGTGTAGCATAGCCTGAAAGGCAGGTGTCACATTAGAGCGAGTTAACGTTAAGAAGTTCATCGTGTAATCGATCGTACCATGTTTGGTTTGGAGAGTCGACGGCGGAGGAGGGGGCGGGATAAGGCAGAAATATTCATAGCCCACCCCTTCCCCTCTCCTTATTTTTACCATTCATTCACCCCCTTGGTACAAATTTTTTCTCTCCCCGGCCTTGCGTTGCTGTAAAAATAAACTATAGCAGCTAAAATTTTTACCAAGATAATACTGAGCACTCGCCCGCGAAAATTACGCCTGCTCTGCAGGTTAATTATCGCAGATTACTACGGTTCACCCCTCGTGGATGTTAATCTGAAATTTACAAAACACCGAAATGCCACGCCTTGCCATGAAAAGAATAAAAAAAGCCAACACTAAATATAACGATTGCGAGCTACCTAGACACGGGCCCAAACGCATTATTGCCAGTCAGCTTCAGTTATTCTGTGAGTGGTGGTCTATAAATTCTTCTCACAAAAGCTGTGCTGAAAGTTTCAAACTTGAGTTAAATATCATATATCAGAGTCGTATCAGATTCTTTTTTAAATCATTGTTGGTAAAAAAAGTATCGCTTTTAACTGAGGATTAAGTGGAAATAATGACACTACAACAAATTATCAGAAAACCCATTTTTCTTTGGATATAAACCACCATGTCGCCAAAAGAGTATGAAGAAGGGGAGTACAGAAAACTCACCGGGTAGGGGTGAGAGGAATTCTCATCAAGTGGGGATCGGAAGGGGGATAAGTGGTCGCCAAAAGAGTATGAAGAAGGGGAGTACAGAAAACTCACCGGGTGGCCTGGGATCAGGTAAATTTAATTGACCAAGAGACAAATGATGACCTTTAAATTATAGGACTTATCAACTCCAGCTGGTCAATTTTGTGAAAAATTGTACGACGACAACGCCATTGGAACATGTCCATGGCGCTAACAATTAAAAGCTTGCTGGTCACATATCTTGATTGAATTTTTATTCTCTATTAACCGTTTTCTTAAAACACATCCCAGTAACTTTAAATTCGTACAAACTACTGGTCCTCAAAGGCTAGAGAATGGTCTAGTTGTGCCTAGGAAGTTTACGGAAAACACAGGATTTTCATCTTCCACCCCTCACACAAAGTAAAACAAAGTTTTAAAATTCATTAATGTTTTAGAACATTCTCATTCCTAGAGCCCGTCAGTCTTCTCGGTCGGCAGCGCCTCAGCATCGATTTATAATGAATCGAAGAGCTCTAGACACACACAAAATTATCCTTTTTTTTTCCAAATTGTTCAACTTCAGAAAAATGAAATCTTAAATAGGAAACAAATCAAAAACCGAAAAAAGGAACTGGTGTGAAAGACATGATGAAATCTTCATTGTACAAGCTAATATTGTTTGTAGAGCAGCAGCTCACCTCTACATGTAAAAATTAACTAAAGTCGCATCAAAGTTGTAATTTTTTTCCATCTCCGAGTCCCTCGCGATGTTATTTCTGCTAATGATGTGAACTTCTACAAGAAGTTGTGATTTGCATTTTTCTAGCCGTTTGTCATTTTCTTTTCTTTTTTTTTTTTTGTGAATATTTAATTATCTTAGCGCAATGTGCCAAAAATAGATCAGGTGACTAGTTATTTAAAAACCTAGAAGTTCGTTACGCAACTTATAATTACATTTCAAAAGTGTCACCACCGATCGCACATCGAAGCTTACTAGTCGCATATAGAACACAAATTGTAAGTATAATATTTGCCCGTCGCTTCAACCGAAATTGACATGTGTAATAACCTTCTTTGTAATATTAATTTAATTTTTAAGTTGACTACTTCTTCTTCTATTACGAGTGCAAAATAAATTCCATGTACGCGAAAATCAGTTAGTGATGAAATCTTCAAATTAAAGTCGCCCCTTCAATCACAGGAGCGAATCAAGTTGTTTTAAAACCAGATTTATGATGGTTACTGAGGTGTTGTAATATTATGTAATCGAAATCAGGAGAGAACACGAACAACATTTTTTTTTCATTTTAAGAGTACGAAAAAATTTGAATTTGCGTTCACACATACCTCTATGAACTTTGTTCAAGTGTGAAGATAATAATTATAATAAAGCAAGTTTGAGAAACGCGTAATGGAATCAAAATGTAATTGATAACCAAGAAAGATAAGAAATAAAAATCACCATCTAAGTATACAAGAGTTCTATCTTCATGTATCGTGAATCCTCAAACACTCCCATAATTTAAAGGAAATACTGGATGCTGATCAACAAAAGAGTGCTAACGAATTTTTTTTCATATTCAACTTGGCAACTATAATTTTGGCAAAAAAGCTAACTTCACCTTTATAACAAGGCGAACAAGGACTTTCTACAGTCAGTTACTTTAGATTCTTATTTTCTTAAATTGTATCAGTTTGAAATAAAAATATTTTTTATTAAATATTTTCGCACAATCGAGTCACAATGAAATGCGTGATCAACAAAATGAAAGATGTTCGTGTGCTCCTTTCAATATCGAAAAGGGCTTCCTTAAACGAGGTTATTCTAAACAACTTTTTCATCGTAAACAATGTCAGGCCATTAATTTATTTGTGTTATCTCTTGCTCCCGAATCTATTGTTTGATGTTCTTCATCGTTGGATGGTTTTGAGATTGACAGGAGGACGCAAGCTTCTTTGTCTCCCGATCTCAGCCAAGACAAGGGATTCTTGAAACATGAGGAGAAAAAAAGTAAAAAAAAAGGATCAATATCAGTATCTGGGCAACTGCCCACCTACCCCTCCCCTAACCTGTTTTTGAGTTAGGGGAGGGGTAGGTGGGCAGTTGCCCAGATGCTGATATTAATCCAAAAAAAAAAAGAGTCAGTAGGTTTGTAAGAATTCATTATCAATCTTGTTTTCTGAGGGAGATAACTCTATTATAGTGCAATCAAGAAAAAAGAAAAGAAAAGAACAAACACAATGAAGGAGACGATGTAATAATATTATTCTTATGTAAAAGTACAACTGTGTATGAGATAATTTTTAATTATAATAATAAGTACGTAGGGTCGTCTCCCAAAGCCATCGATGTCGTGCATACCGTCTTCGATGTCTAAAATGAATAACCAATTGCTCGTGTTCATGTTAAGATCAATTTTCTTTCCAATACTGGCCAAGTTTGCGTTTTGGGTCATAGAAAAGTTCTGTTCAAGCTTCTCTTCTTGAGGAGACAGCCCAAACGTTTTTTTTCTAACGTTTTTAGTTTAATGGTGGTATTTGAATAAAGACTGCATCATACCTTCGTTTTAGTCTCTTTTGATAGGTCGCCTTCTGAATAAATATAATAAATAAATTTAAATCTTAACATAGAAATTTAGCTACTGTCGACATAGACAAAATGACAACTTTAACCGATTGCATACAAAGATATATATAGCGCATTATAACTGCTCATATTGACCAAGAATATTGGCTTAGTCAATTACTTATATCTGCAGTTTGATTCAGTTAAGTGATCTGTGTTTTAATAATCTCAGATTTAATTCAAATTCCCTTACCTTCCTTCCGTATCCTGGCAGAGGTTTTGATCGGCCTTCTAGTTCAGTTTTCTGGTGAGAGGGCTTTGGAAAAAAGGAGGAACAAATATAAATATGAGAGAACATCACAAAGCGAAAAGTCAAGAAGGAGAGAAGATTTAAGGATCATTGATGATAAGATTCTGCCTGCTCGTTTGAGTTCAATAAAACAAAAACCTAAGGCAGAATTTTATTAGGAACTTGTAGACTGACATAAGACTTCAAACAATCATGGTCTACCAAGGCCCTCGCTTGGTCTGTCGCACAAAGTTTCATTTATCATGTTAATTGGACGTAAAAACCTGAGTTTCTCTCTCCCCTCTAAATCAATTGTTTTATAAAATTCCTCCACTGAGCTTTTGACAATCCAATTACAATTTGCATGTGATATTAAGTAATTAGTTATGTACATAGAAGAATATTGCGCTTCTGATTGGCTGAATACGAGTGCATTTCGTGTAACACGAGTGCAAAGTAGTGACATGAGTGCAAATTAAAAATAGCGAGCGTTCGCTTTCAAACTTTTGTCTGTCTTGACTTTCTGTGATGTTTTATGATGTATATTATTAGCAAGTGCTAACATGATTTCAAGTGAAATGTGGTGTTAGTAAGTACGGGTAAATTTTTTAAAGACTACAAATTGCACTTGCCCTACGGGCTCGTGCAATTTTGCTGTCTTGGAAAAATTTACCCGTGCTTATTAACACCAAATTTCACTCGAAATCAAGTTCTTACCAAGAATACTAAAGTGAAAAAATGCTACTCTATTAGAAATTACCAGCCTCCTTTTATAATTCGTCTTTCTCTCAGTTGTCATTTGATGAAGCAGTCCTAACAGCAGTTTTTCAACTTCCTTCAATTGCAACTCATGATGCGTTTTCCATTTGTGTAATTCCTCAAAACGATTTGTGTGCTGCTCGTCCTTGAGTTGGCTCTGAGTACCTACTGATTCTATTTTGGAGAAAAGTGCTGTTTCTTCTTGCTGGAGTTCCGTAGTAAAGTCTAAAAGTTTTTTAATACAATTAACATTATCTTCACTTTGTTGCCCAACCTGAGCAGTCAGCTTGATAAGAGCTTCAAACATATTCTGAAAATAGTTGCGATGTTCTTCACATGACTCTAGCAATTTTCCCACGCTTTCATCGTTTGACGGATCCGCTTCCTCATTCAATAAGCTGCGTGTGGGCTCTGTTTTGTCTTTAGAGGCATCTTGAATCCCATCTGTTTTATTAACATTTCCACAAGCCAGTTGCCCTTTATTCATTTGGAGTCTCAGGTCCTGAAGCTCCGATGAAATATAGCGCTTTAGACTTTCCTGTCTGGCTAAAACAACAGTTTCTAAAAATCCCTTGCTTACAAGCGTCTGTTAAAGCAAATGAAAGACAAATGGGGCAATTAAAAATGACATAATTTTCGAGGATAAACCTTGAATCACAGGGTGCATTTTTCCAAATACTCATTGAAACATTCTAATTGGATAGATGGGATAAGTGAAGAAGTTACCTCTTCCAATTTCAAAAAATTGTCACTGCTGTTGAATTCTTTAACCATGAATTTATTTCCCTGTGCATCTTCGCACACCATAAGCTAAAAAAAATGACAAATAGTTGATTGTAAACAATTTTGAAGCAATTTCATTATTTTACTTGAGATTATTTGGTGGTAAAACTATGCCCAGAGAATGGCAAAATCCATCTAAGTGATTTTTCTGGTTTACCGCTGGTCCAGTTTCATCCTTTTGTTCACGAGGTCTGGGGCAGACGTGCTAATCATCAACTTTTCAGTAGTTATTGTAGAAAGCGTGTTGTCAACTACTTACCTTATTAAGCCCTTCACCCAGGTCATGAATAACTGTTAAACTAATGACGTGACCCTTAGGAATGTTTCCACACCTCATCACTTTCGCATAATCCACTCCTAGTGTGTTGATAGGAAATTATTATGAGTTCAGAGTTCTGCGTCGAACAGTTTAATGCTTCATGTTCCCCACCAGGACAACCTCCCTGCCACCCATGGAACAAACTATACCAGCAAACTAAATGTCACCATTTAGAATATTTGCAGCGAAGGAAAGATTTTTATTCCTCGCAGGAAAGCAATTTCTTAACTAAGCAACCCTTATAAGTGCAGACAATCCGAATAATAAAATAGCTGGACAATTCACGGTTTTCGTAACACCGAACCCAAAGTTGTACTAAATGCCAACTAGGACAAAAGCAAATGTCACTGGTTGGGAGCCAATGAGAGCACAAAGCATAAAAAAGCAAAATATTTGAAGTGCGGGTCTACAAGTTACCTTTGATTCTAGTTTTGAATTTGATGATCACTTGAAAGAGTATTTGGTGCGAAGCAACGCAATCCAGGATCGCGTTTTACACCAAGTTGTCAATTGCTCTATTAAGAATTGACAAAATCCCTTAAACAGTGGGCGCGCTCTGATTGATCATTAGGTGTGTTGAGATAAGGACGAGTAAAAGCGTTTTGATTCACGAGAGCAGCCTCCTCCTCAAGGGGGGGAGAGTATTGGGAGAACTATCCTAGTCCGCCTTAATGTTAAGACAAGAAAAGGAAACCACGGAAAGCTCCACGACTGCGTTATACGTTAAAAATGTCAACTGTTTTATGACTTCTTTGTGTGTTTATTCTTTCAGCTTGACAGTTGTATACTAGACCATTCACTCATCTTACCAGGTATACCTACTCACCAAGAAGCTTTTCTGCTATGCATTTTTTCCCAATGCTTTCTAAAGCATCCGCTAAACGCCCTGCCACTGCACTGCTCCCTTCTTTCTGTTGCCACATGAGGAGTAAGGCGTTTGCTTTGTCGCGACTACAGCAGTAATCGTTATCCAGGTTTTGGATCTTTGCTGCAGGGATATCAAGCTTTGGTCCCAGCTCACGCCAGCAAGTACCTACGTCATCACTTACGTCTGAAATCTGCAGTTCTGTCACCACGGAGGTCCTTTGGCTGTTGAAGTCTTTTGCGTGCACAAAGGGATATTAGACTCTTAGCTAATTTAATGTTTTAATTGCGTGTAGTTTTTAACATTGCATGGATTACGAGAATCATTCTAGTTGAAATTTAGTGAGGTCTTCTTCTTGCCCTGGAGTAGAAAACGTACCTGGTGTTAACTGGACAGTAACAACATAAAGGGGTTAGGCTTATGTTTAGTATGGTTAATTCTAAACAGCCAAACAGGTATATATAGGTTACTTGAGTGATGATGCATTAGGGCTTGGTTAGTAAATGATTCTCTGTATTCAAATTAATTGACAGTCATCTTTGCATCATTGAGTCACACCACGCTACCCAGTTTTCAACAATTTCTAAATTAATTTTACTAAGAAATAACACTAAGTTATTCAGCCTTGAAGGAATCTAAATCTCGACCTTTATTCAGTCGAGTTCATTTTTTGGGGAGCTGATTTTTATTTCGGATACTTCTGGTTTACAAAAGCGTCATCAGTATTAGTAAAATCAGATTTTCATTTCATATATCTTCAACCGTTATCTGAATATTGCTTAAACTCTTTCAAACGTCAAGCATGTCTTTGGTTATATTTATAAGAAGATCTTACAATTGCCATGGTCAACCACAGAAGCTTGACAAAAATACGCAGTAAAGATAATGGATATATGGCGCCGTCATTCGGCTAAAATTTATTATGATTTGACTCACTTTTTCTAAAATCCTGGATTCAAGCCAAAAATCATAGCGGAAAAAAGCCAAAAGTTTATTTGATGACGCTAACGGCATTAAGTGTACAGGCATAATTTCAGTTTCCTCTTTGTTGTTCGTCGAAAACATCATGCCTAAAGTCTCAAACATCAATCTGATACGTGATTATTTTATTGGAATTTCTGTTTTTCAGGTAATCAGAGTGTTCCTAGTTAACAAAAGTTTGGCTCCCATTTCATTCGCATTAAGATGGAATGAACAGATTACAAAATCTCCATAATATTATATGCGGTTTATTGTCAAACTTATATTTTTGATGCCATTGACGTCATAATCTACTCATCGAGATTCTGTCCTTTACAAATAAGGAACAGCAAATTGGTTAAAATTCTAACCACTGCTGCTTCCATCCTGATCTTCAAAAAAGGAGCAGCATGTAAACGGAGCCAATTCGACGTCTTACATGTCCATTCTTGCTCCGTTCCCTTTATCTTTCCCACGCTAAAATCATTATAGCGTAACATATCTTAACCTTATACATTGTAAATATCGCTCTGGATTATCAACGCTGAAATCAAGTCGGCAACAATCTCGCATACAAATTACGCGAGGACAACTAAACGAACACCACTAGATATATAGAGCGATGAGGTAATTAAAATAGCGGTTATATGATAATTAAACAACGCAGATTAACCACTTTTAGATGACAAGCACCTGCAGCGAAGACTGCCAAAAATATTTGAAAGTTAAATTACTGTTACATGATCGATTAAGCTTTGCCTGTCCTGTAGAGAAAAACGTACAATTGCAGAACAAAAGGATGAGACTTAAAACTGAACACAAGTAATATTATGACAAGCTACCGAGACTGAACTAAACTAAATAGTCATATATTTACCACGTACATATAATATTTTGAAAGCTTACTTCTAATTTCAATACAATTCTCAGCTGCTCTTCCGCTTGTCGCAAGCAATGTTGGCGTTTCGGAAGCCATAGGACTTGCTTCCTAAATAAAACTTTACTTCCCTCTGTGAACTGATTACAGCTTCAATGTTTATCCGAGGACATAAATATTACTCAATTGTTTGACTATGTGTGCCCTCTCGTTCACTTGGACGACTTTTCACTTAAAAAACACGGAAAAGCCACGTCTTGGGATGAAAAGGGAAAAATCATATTACTTAAATTAATATCGGTGCACCGAGGTCGTTCCGGATGGATGCAGGTCCAGACCCATGCAGTAAACTCACGAACATTCTGTCAGCTTGGATATTCTGTGAGCAGCAATATGTAAAATCTTGTCACAGAGGCCGTATGGTTCCTTTCAATATATGAGCAAAAATATCATCTATCGGTGTCGTACTAGATGTTTTTCTTTTTTTTTTTAGAATTTGGGTAAGAGGGTCCGCTTTTTAACTTGGGACTAAATGTAAATAATAAGAGTTAAGAAGTTATCGGAAAACCCACTTTTCCTTGGATACAAATCGGACTTAAGACACCACATTCTGTTATGAATAATGGAAAAGAAATTATCACATAAACTACGCTATTATTCAAGGATTTCTCGCCCTGTTAAAGCCGTAACAACACACGTGTAAAAATGTCTTATTTTTTCACGTGTTTGATATCGCCAATCAGCTCCCCTCACTCGCCTATCGCGCCACTTAGTCAGGTTGATGAATGAATGGCATAGCCTTCACGATTCTCAATACAAGGTAGTTTGAGATAATTTTTTCGGATATGGCTGCCAAAACACTGAAAAATCCTCATCGCTTACAAACAGTAACGTTCAAAATAAACTTGCCTAGAAAGGGAAGAAAACCAAAATACGGAAAGAAAAACCAAACGTTACGTTTTCAGTGGTTTTCAGTTGGTGATAGCATTCTCGTGGCTGAGAGCGAAAACGACAACTGAGAGATTTATCACAGGCCGATTTTGGCCGTGTATCTAAAATATTTCTTCTGTCGGTAAGAACCAGGTCAATAACTGAAAATTTTGTATATTGGAAATTGTCTATGGTTTGTTTTGTAGTGTTCCAACATATTTTTTCATGTTGAGTCTTAGCGCCAACGCACTTTACGATTTTTATTCAGGATTGTCGATCCTTTTATTTTCATTCCTTAATAAAGTTGACTTTTCATTGTCAGTAAAGGGCTGTTTTGTTTATATGATAAACAAAATAATACATTGTTGCTTGTAGATATGGACTTATTCTTCTTGTGTTCAACTCGACATCTCACTTGTTCGCGGCGCTCACTCGTGCGTTATCGAGTTAAACACTCGAAGAGAAATTCCATATCTAAGCGTGCCCAGTTATTATTCTCTATTTATTTATCGCCTGAGCGGAGGGGGGCACACACTTTTAATCAAGTGGGGAAGGGAGAGGGTATCAGTCGCTCTAACAGAGTATAAAGGGAGGACTTTGGAAAATCAACTGTCAATGAGGAGGATCATCAGAATACTACCAGGGTGGGGTCGGGTTAATTTTACTGAAACCAGTTGACAGATAATAACTGGCCCCTGATTACGAAATTATAGGACTTACCAAATCCAACTGGTCAATTTTGTAAAAAACTGTCAATACTATGAAGGATCTTTCAGCAATAGATAACGCAAAAACGGTTTCATTGCTTGTTTATATGGCGGAAGTACAAGTTTCCTTGGTATCATCGTTTGTCTCACTTTCACTCCTTTAGTCTTTAAAGACTGACGGTAAAACCATCGAGGAATTGAACAAAATTGCTCAGGTTCACGTCTGACTCAATATCAGGATGAGAAATACTTGATTGTATAGTAACAAAACCGATCTCAAGAGAGTTGTATGCCTTTAAGACATGATCTGGGTTGAAACAGATCCCACTCTGAAAATAACAAGCGATCAAGATTCTCACCGAAAAAGGCCCCCTTACATATTATATAATCACAGTCCGCTAATCACCATCCAAATTTCCCTTTTTGTATAAGTGCGATATCCATTCATGTTCGCTATCACGTCTTACATTCAAACTGGCTACAGTTATATTAAGGAGCAAATATGGCGAAATTTTGCATTCTGCCTCTCTTTTTCGCTAATAGATCTAATTGGAGACACTTGTAATGTCTCAAAATGAAATTGCATTGGATAATCGAGAAATAGCACTTCACCATCAAATTAGACAAGAGTTCTATCTCGAGGTATCGTGAATCCTCGAACACTCCTATTATCCAAAGAAAATACTGAAAGCTGATCGGTTAAATGGTTTTTCGTGTGCTCACGAATTTTCGTTTATATTAAACTTGCCAAATACAACTAAAGCCAGAAAGGCAAATTCGTCTGTTTAAATTTGCCTTTCGCAGAGGGCGTCTTATAAAAGAGGTTATGCTAATCAATTTTTTTTTTGTAAACAATGATGAGTTCTTCTGTGTTTTTTTCCTGCTCCCGAATCTTTGCTTTGATATTCTTCATCGCTGGAGGGTTTTGAGATTGACAGGAGGACGCAAGCTTCTTTATCTCCCGATCTCAGCCTCAACAAGGGATTCTTGAACCATGAGATAAAAACAAAGTAATAAAAAAACAGAGTCATTAGCTTCGTTAGAATTTATTTTCATTCTTGTCTTCTAAGGGAGATAATAATCATGGTGCAACCAAGAAAATATAAAGAGATGACAACAAACAAAATGAAAAAGAAGATTTTACATGGATTACGACAAGGCTACATGAATACCTATGAAATTAAATGATATTACTTAGGGTTAGGTAAGTACACAAGGTCGCCTCCACGAGCTGAATATCCTGAATTTAAACTTCGATGTCTGAGATGGATAATCGATTGTTCATGTTCAAATCAATTTCCTTCCTAGTTCTAGCATAGTTTGCGTCGTTAGGTCATAAAAAAGTTATTTCCGTGCTTCTCTTCCTGAGGAAAAGACAACGCAAATTTTTCAGATTTTTTCTTACTTTCTTCGATTGATGGTTGTATTTTAATAACGACTATATCATACCTTCGATCCAATCCCTTTTGGTGGGTCGCTTTCTGAAAAATGTCTGGGTTTCTGCAAAACGAAAATAACACTGAATTTTAAAAGCTTATCATATTTAGTGACTGCCCTTCGTATTTCACGATGACTATCCTGTTGAGAGTAAATTGCTTTGATCAATGAAAACAAATTAATGGATTGCACTTGGTTATATGGCGAAGGATTCTTCGGAGGTACAACATTCAAAAGAAGCAATTGGGCAACTTAAACCGTATGCAAACGACGATGAAATATTGAGTGTATTATAATGGCCCTCATTTCCAGGCGTCCAACCTCGGCAGTCAGCTCAATAAAAGCCTTAAAAATCCTCAAACAAATGTTGCGATGTTCCTTACATGACAGAAGCGATTGCTCCACGCTTTCATCATTTGTTGAATCCTCTTCCTCCTCATATTTACATCTCCACGAGCTGATTTCTCTTTCTTTATTTGGAGCCTCTGGTCCTGAAGTTGTGCTGAAATATATCGCTTTAGGCTTTCCTTCTTTTCGTCAACAACAGTCTCTAAGAACCTCCTACTCACAAGTGTCTGCTAAAACAAATGAAGTAAAGAGGATGGAACACTTGATCAAAACCACAACATCATTTTAAGAGATCTACTCTAAATCACAGAGCGAATTTTTCCAAATGATCATTTCTAACTCGTTTTATGCGAAGGGTAGAAACAAGATTTTGTGGAGGTTCCGATATGCAAACGAGTCACTCACTTGCGCACCGTTCTAGTTAACTAGTCGTCCCGAACTTTCCCGAGCCGATGGAAAAGTAACCGCGCATAAACGACAAAGAGGCTTGTTACAATTTATAGCATCATTGCTTTAAATGGCACCTTTTGATTGAAAATAAAATTTCGGGTTCAAGCACAAACCCAGCACTGTACATCGCTTCGATTGTTTACGATCCGATGTAAAACAAGAACCATGGGAACAGATTAGGTTTATTGGCTGATGTATTAAATTGAATTATCTTGTATGGGCATTGGCGGCGGGATCAGTCAGTAACAAAACTTAAGCTAGCGAAAATAATCATGTGATTTTCTGGCGAAAGAAAACTCGCGAAATTTACTGTCGTTTATCCATAATTTCAGGTTGTTATCGGATGCAAGCGAAAGAAGCATGCCAAGTGAACATCGCGTTATAATGCAAATATTGCTTGAGCGACTAAGGATGGAAAACAGTAGAATTTGGTTTGTGCAGGCGAAGAAAGATTTGGATCGCAGCGTCTGAATTTGACGAATTTTGTAAATAGAAATTTGAAAAGGTGATTTTATTTTGTACTGTTTTTATACACTGCCTGGTGCATACCTTTGTTAACTATTCAGCGAAATTGGATACCATCATTCTGGATCTGTCCATGACCTCCTGTAAGCTTTCCAGCAAACTCATGAACTAAGACCGAAAAAACCTTAAGACCTTTGTAGAGTTCTGCCAGTCGACTCTTATCTTTACAAGGCAAGTTTTAATGAAATAATTGATTTTGACACATTTTCAGACAAAAAAGAATTTGAGTCTCTAAGAATATATGGTTTTTCGTGTCATAAACATAACCATTAACCACAGCCCCTTGAAAGGACCTATGTTCGGCAAATGAGCAAAAGATTATACACTAATGACACTCATCCGACGTCTCCTAAGGAGAATGGAAGAGATTGAACTGCTTTTGGTGGTAATAGTGGTGAGCAAGCTTCTGACTTGTATATATGTTCCTTGAAACTGGCAGAAAAGTCCATAAACCAAGAGAAAAAATGACACACTTGAGGAGGCTTCTGGTCCGGTCCTTGGATAAATGGGAAAAGTGGAGAAATTACCTCTTCCAATTTCAAAAAATTTTCACTGCTATTGAATGCCTTTACCATGAATTTATTTCCTTGCGCATCTTCGCACACCAAACTCTAGAAAAAGTGAGAAATAGTTTATTGTAAACAAACATGAATTAATTTTATGAAAATTTTCGCTCACCTACGGTAAGTTTCTGATATTTTACTTTTAAAAAGTAATTGATAATAAATTGTATATGTGTCTGGATAATGGTGGGAATCCGTCTGAGTAATAATTCTGATCCAATGCTGATCTAGATTTCATACTTTTCACAAGAAAACCTAAAGCGATTAGCTCTGGAGGAGTCGAGGGCAGACGTACCACTCATCAGCTTGGAGGAAGTGGATTATAACTTTGGGGTAACTAAATATGTAATTGGTTCTTGTGAAAATTATATCTTTCAGTAGTTATGGTAGAAAACGTGTTGTTAGCTACTAACCTTATCAAGCCCCACACCCAGGTCATGAATAACTGTTAAACTGATAACGTGACCCTTGGGAATGTTTCTACACATCGGCAATTTTTCATCATCCACTCCTGATAATAAATGTTGTAAAAGTAAATTATGAGAAGTCAGCAGATATTTCCAAGTAATAAACAGCCAAACGGATCATGAATGTTGATGGTACTCTAGGCAAACCAAAGGAGACCAGTAAACTAATGTCACCATTCAGAATGTTTGCCGTAGGAAAATAATTTTTATTCCTTGTAAGGATGAAATCTCTTACTTTAGCCACCAAACAGCCTAGTTGGAATTTTCAATGATAACACGTACACACAATGAGGATAATAGGGTAGCTGGATAATTTATTGAGCTACAAAACTTGTACTAATTGCCAATTAGGACAAAAGCAGATAGCATAGGTAGCCAATAGAATCTCAAAATGAAAAACAAGCTACTTCAAGCGCGGGAAAAGGTGCATGAATGTTCAAGTTGCGATTGGTTTTACTCTTGGTTTTATTGGTCTAGAGTTTGAGTGCGAGTTTCCTCAGCCAATCAAAGAACAAAGGTGATCAAGAGCAACGCGATCCAGGATTGCTTTCTACACTCAGTTGAAAATTGCTGTATCAAGAATTGCAAAATCTCTGTTAGAGTAAGCGCGTTCTTATTTATCGGTAGGTGTAGAGTTGAGATAATGGTAAGTAAAAGTAAGTAAACACAATTGAATTATAATAGATTTGCGTTAGTTATGGAGAGATATATCCTTGACACACTCAAGGAGGAAGGTAGATATTGGGAGAAATATCCCAATCCTCTTTTTGTTGAGATAAGACTTTAGCACCAAGGAAAAATCCATTTTTGTGTAACAAGGTAGCAATGTAGTTATTCATCATAATAATTTTTTTCTTCATCAAATATTTTTAGAAATTGGGTATCTTGTCAGTTGTATACGCATTACAGAAGCAGTCTTCACAAGCCACTCACTCATCTTACCGGGTATTCCTACTCACCAAGAAGCTTTTCTGCTATGCATTTTTTCTCAATGCTTGCTAAAGCATCCGCTAAACGCCCTATCACTGCACTGCTCCCTTCCTTCTGTTTCCACATGAGGAGTAAGGCGTTTGCTTTGTCGCGACTACAGTAATAATCGTTATCCAGGTTTTGGATCTTTGCTGAAGGGATATCAAGCTTTGGTCCCAACTCACGCCAGCAAGTACCTACGTCATCACTTATGTCTGAAAGCTGCAGTTCAGTCACCACAGAGGTCCTTGGGTCGATGATGTCTCCTGTGTGCCCAAAAATATATTAGATTTTTAGTATAAATCAATGTTTCAATTGCATTTAGTTTTAACAATTAATTACATGAGGCATTGCGGTCCGTGGATGACCATCAACTCTTGCCGCGTGGTTGAATCATTTCCTTGCTTTGGGGCATTCTGTGCGTCATAGTCAACCACTACAGCCTGACACCGGAAACATTCGATTATGGTAATTTTAATATGACGTATGCGAAAGTCATTCGGCAAAAATAGACTCTGATTTAATTGGTTTGTAGTTCGCCCTAATACTCAATTGTCTATCTTTTAAGTGATCGTTTTGTCGCAATTTCTGGTTTGCATGAAGTTGGAGGATTCCCATCTAGATGTGTTCAGCTTCGTTAATTCGCATTGAGTCTGAATTAACAGACTCGATAACAATCTGAAGAGCAAGATTTTTGTGACCTTATTTACAGTCGATTATCAAGCTGGTACGAAAGTTTGTGCCAACGATATCACTATCTGCTCATCTCGATTCTGTTCTTCACAGTGAATTCGAAGGAACAGCAAATTGATCAAAAGTCAAACTAGTGCTGCTTCTCTCCTGACCTTAGGAAAAATTCTGCTATTTAAAACTCAAAAACGACTAAGTAAATTTCCGTTCTTCTTCTGTCCCTTCATTTTTCCCACTAGTAAAACCACCACTGCGGAACATATTTGAATTTATGCTTTGTTGATATTTCTCTATATTATCAAGACCGTATGGAGGATTGCAAAAATTTCGCATGTTAACCACACGTTGACAACTAAACTAGCATCACGATTTGTTAAATCGGTTAAATGGAAATTAACAGCACAAATTTAACACTTAACGATGGCAGGCGTCCACAACGACACTTCCAAAATTTTAAACGTTAAATAGCTATTGTACGATTTAAGTTTTGCCAGTAAAGGAGAAAAAGCAATAATTGCTTTGCAGAACTAAAGGACTACACTTAAAAACTAAACGCAAGTGGTATTCAGACACACCGCGGAAGTACAACAAAAAGCAAATGGCGAATATAAAACACATGCATATAATATTGTAATGCTTATTTCTAATTTCAGTACCATTCTCAGCTTCTCCTCCACTTGTCGCAAGCAATCCCGGCGTCTTTGTTTCCTCGGTAGCCATACACTTTCCTTCTGTGAACTGATCAAAGCTACCCTGTTGATATCTTCAACCACATCTACACTGTTGTCATGTGGAAAGAAAGATTACTCAAGTGTGCCTTCTTGTCCACTTCGATAACTGAAGCTACTCAGATCCTTGTGACATTGATCGCAGAATTGACAGCTTTCACTTTCAAGCCAGTAAATTGAGCAAAGTGTAGAAGTCTTCTAGGATTCTGATGATTACGCAACACGTCTCTAGAACCTGCGATAAGAAGGGACAAATCCTACGCTAAATATAGCGATTGCGTACGTACTACTGCAGGAGGTCGTTCCGGAAGACTACAGCTCCAGTGACACTGAGTATTTATTAGCCCAGAACATTATGGATTATTCACGAACATTGTGGGTCCTACTCAGTATTAGCCAGTCAGCTTTGGATATTCTACGAGTGGTGGTCTATAAACTCTTTCCACAGAAGCCATATGGTTACTGTGGATATTGAGCAAAAATATTATCTATCAGAGTCGTACTAGATTTTTTTTTTAAAAGAAAAAAAAGAGTGCCTTTGTTTAGAAGTTCCGCTTTTTAACTTGAGATTAATTGCAAATAATGACATTTAAAAAAATTACCAGAAAACGCACTTTTGATTTAAATCGGACTTAGCACCTAACCGCCACATTCTGTTATAGATAAGGGGACAGTTTGTTTTTTATTTGTCGCCTGAGCAGGGAGGGAAAGGAGGAGAATTTTCAGAGGGATCACTCACATACTTTTCATTAAGTGGGGAAGGGAGGGGGAATCAGTCGCGCTAAAAGAGTATAAAGGGGGACCAAAGGAAATTAACTGCCAACGAGGGGGTCATTATAATACCCACTAGAGTGGGGTCAGGTAAATTTTACTGAGACAAAAAGACAACTCGTTAGTAAGGAATTATCAGACTTCAATTCCAATAAGACAGTTTAGTGAAAAATTCTCATTATTCTGAAAGATATTTAAGTAATAGATAACTCAAAAACAGTTTCAGTACTTATTTATGGAGGCGGAAGTACAAGTTCCCTCGGCATCATCATTTCTCTCACTTTCACTCCTTTCGTCTTAAAAAGACTGACGGTAACCCATCAAGGAATCAAACAAAATTGCTCTGGTCCAAGTCTGACAGGGAATCAGGATGTGAAGTACTATATTCTACAATAACAAAACAATTTAAAACAAGTATTTTGTTGATTTGCATCAAAAATTTTTTTAGATTCATGAAACGTCGATTTTTCCCAAATCCTTAAACTTGTCGAAATCGGCGTATTTAACTTTTATATCTGCGTAAAAATTCAGAGGGTAACTGTCTTTAGAAGTGTACCTATTAACGGAGGTCAAGAAGTAAAAAGTTTTCGGAGCTAATTCGAGATAAATTGGTAAGATTATAGAATACACTCTTTCACCGGACGAGCCAGATAGCTCAAACTTGTAGGTTCGATCAAAACACACATTCGTTACTTCCAGCGCAAGAGAAAACGTTCGATGATTTCGTCTCAAGAATAAGAGACAGCCTGAGTGTAGATCTTTCACAATAGTCGTTGAGGCAAACATTTTGTTCGGGACCTCTTTCGCACGTTTTTGTCCACTGTTTATGGTTTCAGTGGTTTCCTGTTTGGTGCATGCACAGAGTTTAATATCCACCGATTTATCTGCGCATGATTCAAACTTGCTGTACTTGGACACCCGCACAAAGCTAGTCAACCACAATTTGTCTTCCGCTTGAGCATACTGTTTGACAGAAACCTTGAAAACTTCGTCCTCGTTGTATCCGGGTGGGGGGATCACGTTAATGTTCATTGTGGTGATGATGTACTCTCCTTGGGCCCGTTGCACAATATTTGTGAACGACTTTCCCACCAATCGTTGGCAATTTCCGTATCCCTCTTTTAGAATCGATAATAACTGCCCACCATCATCACCTTTAGGAAGAATAAAAATTAACATTAAAAAGACATCGATAATGACGGCGTATTCTATTTCGTCGAATCAGGGCGGTGATTAAAAAAAAAAAAGGCGTGCACCATTTGTTAGCAGCATAGGAAAAGAAAATACGTGGGTCACCAAAGAGGATTTGAGTCTGAGACTTTCCGATAGGACAATCAAATGTCCTACCAGCTGCCGGTAGAGAACTCGTGGGTAAACTAAGAAATATGCTGAGTACAGTGTATATATGTGATGCGCGAAAGTGATATTCTGATGATTTCTTAACTTCAGACTGACTTGTAACCTTAGGAGTGTAACTTAATAAACCCTTAAGCTGAACCTTATCACTCAGGTAGCGATCTTCAATTGATGGCCTGGCCTACAATTGATCATGACTTTAAATCGTGAGAAAACGATGGAAATTCATTTATCTTTATTAGCATCAAGGGAAAGTACTTCTTTAAAGCTGCGAACCCAGTCAAGTTATCCGACACCCTTCTTACCTCCCATATTTTGTTTTTGAATGGCATTGTTTAAGGTTCCAAGCGCGAACTCCGCTAACCACTTATGACTGTCTGAGTTATCTTTAACCGAATTATATCTGTCAAAGTCCTCGCACTTGCACAAGGTCAGCGGCATCAAGCTTAAGTTTGCGCATGTGCGATTTTCCGGTAGGACTGCAAATATACCAGCCAATGAAGTATTCCGGGAGAACATCTTAACAGGGTCCTTTAAACTCATAAGCGCACGGTGTACATCGAGAAATGTAAAGAGGCGTCTTTGATTTTTAACTAAGGCAGTCATCCTTTCCTTGCCCAGTATTTTTTCAACGCCACCGGGAATAACCATGAAAAAAACAGGATCAAACACTTCTCTTCTTCCTTCCTCTGAGTGTTGACTGTAATAAGTGTTTTTATTACCGTGGTCAGAAAATATCATTGTAAGAGTGTCAGGTAACGCCGCCATGTTGGTGATGAACTCCGCTAAATTGGTGTCCGTGTTTCTTATCCGTTTGCCGGTATATTCGTGTCCAGTGTTGAAATGCATGTACGAAATAAGCGGTTTCGCCGTAGAGTCCTTGTTGATAGCAGTGTACACCATTTGTAGATAATCCATGAAATACTTACTGAAGAACTGTCCATTTAAGCACACTTTTGGAGGAGTTTCAAAATGGTTTGTTTCATTATACTTTTCCAGTACTGTTCCGGAGAAATGCATCAAGCCAAAGTTATCGATAAGTTTCTTTTTTATTATCTCTTGGAATTCTTTCCACCTGGAAAATTATTGGTATTTTTTGCTGTCAAATTATGGTTTCTTTAAAAAAAAAAAAAGCTACCATTAATTGTCAAATCTTTGCCGAAAGATTTATCATGGGCACTAAGAGATAATTATACAAAATTAAAAGTATAGTATTTCCACGACACTGAAGCGTTCAAATAATCGACTTTAAGGCCAGTTTCATTGAGATAGAAAGCTAACCAAGTCTCTTTAGAAACCCCATTTTTTTTTAAACTTTACCTTTCTATGAATTCTGAGTCCGTACTGGGTTTTCTTCTTATTTCAAGATCTGTCAAGGCCACTCCCCAACGGTCAAACCAGCAAAGGTCCTCTTGGAAGAGGGTCTGATAGCCCCATCTCTTGAAAGTCCCGTACAGTACCTCCACGCCTAAAGGTGCCTTAACGGTTTTTGCGGTGTTGGTTACAACGTTATCATCTAGGATACAAACACCCTCAATTAGTTGGGTTTGCGAACACATGTTGTAACGGGATCTCGTAAAGGTTTGCCAATTTGAACGTAAGGCGCAGATTTTAAAAAATAGTTTTATAGAACGTGCTTCATATTCATACCTTGTATGACTCCAGAAAAAAACGGCCTCAAGTTGTCAAATGTTTGCTGACCTACACTCTGGAAGAGCTCAAAGTCCAGGGCGGTGGCCTTGAAGCTAGGATCACGTGAAATCTTCCGGAGAACGTCCACAGTTCTCGGAAGACTTCTGTAAAAATGTGGTCTGGATATAGAATCCAAAAGGATCACGTTAACATTGATGTTATGTCTGCCTCTGCCATCTTTAAGTTTCTGTAACATCGGAGGAAAGATGAGCACTTGAAGGAGATTTCCACACCTCAAGAACAGGAAGCCAAACCCGTTTCTCCTGTTTGTTTCCACAGCATTTTGTACGGTTTTAGTCATTCTTTTATCCGATATTGGCGTCCATTTAGAAATTTTGCCCATATATGGATTGATAGAGCCGATTTCAATACGTGATGACCCGCAGACACTAGCGTCACATAACAATGTTTGTTCTCCTGACTTTGTAACTTGGAACGAGCAGATATCTGGGTAATTGACCTCGTCGCAGCTTCTTTCCTCCACTTGTCCTGGATGCCCGTAGTACTGATAAGCTTGCTCGCAGCCTACTTTGTCTGACCTATAGAAGGCGAATAAACCAGATTATTACAATTTAAAGATTATTCCGCTTTATAGGCAAAATTTTTATTTCTTTAGATTTTTAAGATTTACGAGTATGTTATTTTTACTTGGTCATCTCTTACCAATGAATAAAGGGTTAAGTTTTTTAAAGAAACTGTTGTGCTGCGTCGCCGGGTAATACAAGATAATCGATATGAAGAAGGGCTAACACTCGAAACGTCAGCTTTTAAACTTTATGCGGTGGCCAATTTATGTTATCAACTGAGTTGATAACACTAAATTACCCTGTTATGCTCTCCCACCTACGTAGCACCACAGTTTCTTTAGAAACTTATCCCAAGATAGAAAGAAATAAGAGAGATGGTAAGTTTTGAGCTTGGTAAAGAAATAGAGAAAGATGTTTTTTTTTTGTCTATTCACGAGCATGGGTCCCCATGAGGAATCGAACGTCATCGTGAGAGAGCATCGGAGCGCGGAATCCGAAGGTCTGAGATTCGATTCCTCATGGGCACTCAGAATTTTTTTCTTTGTCCCACGCTCGTGACAAGACGAAAAAAAAACATCTTTTACTTTACCCCAAGATAGTTTTGTTTTAACAACTGAGCTGATAATGTAAATTGGCCACCATAGAGAGCATCTAAATAAAGCTGTCATTTCTAGCATCAGCCATTCGATTCAGATTAGTTTAATGGAGGCAAATTTACATTAACAACCCAGTTGGTAAAACCCGATTATATTTCTATCAAAAATGTATAAAATCAAGCCACATTAATCCAGTTTCTTCGCGTTAGGGAATATGTAAGTAATAAAAAACCTTTTCTCCAAACTTTTAACTTTGAAAAGAAGCTAAAATTTATTTGAGATTTAAACACATAAAACAAAAAGACTTCTTATATGCTGGGGGGGAGAAGAGGAGACTGCCACGGTCAAGCAAGGAGTAAAAAAGGAGGAAAATGAACGGCGTAATGGTGAAATTACTTTACCTTCACCTCTCAATCTGCTAACTTTTCAAGATCCTTACCTATGCGGCCTGCATGTAATTTCAGGTGGCGATGACGCCTCATTTTCATCTGAGTAATTTTTTAAACCCAGATGGGGACAAAGACTGCCATCTGGAAAAAACAAATATCACGTATGTATTGCTTTGTAAGAGACGCACTGTATTGAGAGAAGATGCAAATTTTCACGGTGACCCTTCAATTTTCACAAAGAAAGTACAGAGGTGAGTCTTATTTTTTTGTACTAGAAATTTCATCGCAAATAAAGGTTGACAACTTACCATCAGCTCTGTTCCATTGATAATGTGACTTTTCCCGCGCATTCCATCGGTCACGTGTCTTTGTTTCGCCTGCTGATTGGTTCATTGCTTTTGCTGTCGTCTCAGCGATCGCTTCTGTTAATTTGTCAGTGTTTTGTAAGGATTAAGCAGGTCATTTGCTGTTTGATATTTTTTTTAACAAATGGAACCTTTTTCTTTTTAACTTACCCCAACGTTTTTGAAAACTAGGACCAAAATGCATCTTTACCGCTACGATAGCAAACAAAGCTGCTATTAAGACAATTGTTAGTATCTGTGGAGAAAAAAAGTTGAACTCAAAAATTGATAAAGTTTACGGTCAATCAGTTTTCGGAAAAACTGTTCACTTATTATTATAAAGGCTCCAATTTTCTATCAAAGAAAGTAATTTCTCAATTATTTGAACAAA